TGGCCCAGGCTGCCCAGGGAGGCTGTGGAGTCTCCTTCTCTGGAGATATTCCAGCCCCGCCTGGACGCGGTGCTGTGCAGCTCTGGGTGACCCTGCTTGGGCAGGGGGTTGGGCTGGGTGACCCCAGAGGTCCCTTCCAACCCCGAACATTCCATGACTCTGTGACAACTCTGTGACTCTGTGACAACTCTGTGACTCTGTGACAACTCTGTGACTCTGTGATTCTGAGAATGCCCCAGTCCTGCCGTGCTTGCCACCTGGTCAGGACAGTTCAGTGTAGTCCCTGGAGTGCCCTTCCCCAGCTGGAGTTTTCCAGGGTCCATCACTTGCCTCGACCCTTTCCTCCCTTTTCAGAGGACTTTTCTCTCCATGTCGGAACCTGTTTATTGCTTGAAGCGACTCGGCTGTGCGAGGAGCCATCATAACCTCACTTTCTGCTCTGACCATCTTGCAGTAAAAATTGAGGAACCCGCTTCCATGGAGATAGACAATCATATGTCGGAAAAGGACGATGGTTGCTACGACAACGCCGAGGCCGCGTTCAGTGATGATGAAGATGACTTGAACAGCAAAGGTGAGGAATGCAGTCAGCTGAGCGCCAAGTGCTTTAAGTCCTGCACCGCCACGATGTGAATCGCTGCCGTTTGTGCCGGACGGCGTTTCCCCGCTGTCTTGCGGGCTCCCTCCTGCGTGGTGGAGGCTCCTCAGACAGCCACCTGGGAGCACAGTTCCCTCAAAGCCGCTCGCTCACGAGCTGCGCTCAGTGCTGACCCCCTTCTTGAGCTCCAGCTTTCCTTCCACAAGCGTGTTGAGGCCGATGCTTCGCTGCTTCCCGGGCCCTGACAGCCGGGCTCAGGAGAGCTGATACAGATCTGCGCTCAGAGGGAAAGGCTGTTGGCCTTTGTCTCCTTGCCTGGTTGTTCCCCAGAGCTCAGACCCTTCCAATGTAGCGCTTTCTCCACCCGTGTGTCCTCCCTAGATGTCTGAGTAGCCTGAAGCCCCGCTGTGCTGCGTGGCTGGGAATCCCTGCGGCAGGTGCTGTGCCGGATGGTTGGTTTGGGAACAGGGCGGCTCTGTTCTCAGGCAGCTGCTGATGAGGCTCAGGCTTCTTAATTGCTCGGCCACACGGTTTTTCTTATACTTGCTCCCTCTCGAAGCCAGGAGGCTGTGCACGAGGCTGGAATCCCCTCTGGAGCTCCAGACATCTTGAGCCATTCCTGGCCTTGGTGGTTGGACCCCTGTGGGCTTTCTGCCATGCTGGAGGGTTCCCCCCGCCCTGGGAAGGAGACCCAGGCCCAGGAGGGGGGAGAGGACGTGACACTGTGCTGTAGCACTGTCTTCAGTAGCCCCATCGAGCCCCGACAGCGGCCTGGGGCCCTGGGAGGCACACAGGCTCAAAGGCCATGTGCAGAGAGGGTTTTTGCAAAGGGCATCGGCCACCTTGTCCCATCCCATCCCGTAGCAGCAGCTTCTTGGTGAGCGCTTGTGCCTTGGCCCTGGCTCTTCTGGCCTCTGCTGCAGTTCATTTTTGGGGCCTGGAATGGGCCTGGAGGAGGAGGGTGTGGAAGAGCAGTTGGGGTAGCTCAGTCCCAGAGTCTCGAGCACAAACGTTTGCACCTCGGGTGGAGCGAGCCTCGTGAGCCGGCTCCGTTTGAGCACGTTGAAGGACAGGCAAAGCAGCAGGTTTGGAAACCGGACTGAAGCAGAACCACATTTCTGACCATCTGCTGTGCATGGATCCCATCCCACCTTCCTGCTCCCTGTGACCTGGCCACATCTCCAAAGGGTGAAGGCAAGATCGGGAGCTGGACCGCACGCTGGGGGCATGCTGTTTGTCCAGGGGTGCCGACGGCCCCGCAGCCCCACACGACTCCCGCTGCGAGGGCAGAGATCGCCTCGAACTCCTGAGCCGTGGCTGCTTGGGCAAATGGACTGCTCCACTGCTGCTTTCTTTGGTGCAGGGAAGAAGAGGGAGTTCAGGTTTCATCCGATCAAAGAAAGCTTTGTGGAGGAGCCTGTTGATATCACTCCCTTCCTGGACCAGCTGGATGAGTCACTGAAGGATAAAGTCCTGCAGCTGCAGAAGGGAAGGTTGGTGTCCTTTGGTCGTGTTCCATTTGGTGTTGGTCTCTTCAGGGCAGCGACACACAAGACCCTTTAGTCCTGTTGGGCAGTGCTGCTCGCTCCAGAGCCCCGCTCTCGGGGCTGATGCGACCGTGTGGCTGGTCTCCCTTCGTCATGGTGAGGTCCTCCCGCACAGCTTGTGCAGGGAACGTCCAGGTGCTTTTGAAAGCTGCTGGGTTAAGAGCCTCGTAACTTGTCCTTGGAGCAGGCTCAGACCAGGACGGAACAGCCATTTGCTGGGGGCTACAGTGTTTCTCTGAATCAGGGACAGGAAGGCAAAGTGCCCCGAGTTTCATCCTTCTCCGCTGTTGGGTTGATGAGGGGAGGCTGCGTGGCCTTTGGGGCAGTTGCTGCCTGGGGCTTTCAGTGCATCTCTACATGGGACGCGTTCCCGGCGGACAGAGACGTACCTGTGTCTGCATGTTCGCTGCACTTCCCCACCTCCACTCGCGATTTGCAGTGCCCTTGGAATCTGCTCCATCAAAAGAAGGTTAAAAAAAGCTCTCCCTTTTTAGACCTTGGCGTAGTAGACTGATTTAGTGTAATTTATGGCTTGAAGTGCATTTCATCTTATGCTTTTAGTCGTTTCATTTGCTCGTCTTGCTGCAGACAAGCAGAGCAAAGCAGAGCCTGCCCCACTCTCAGGTCCTGGGGGGCTCCCGAGCAGAGCCAGCTCAGCACAAAGCCCCCTTGTCCCTGCTCTCGGTATCTTCCTATGTAACTTGGATTTCCTCTTGTTTTTGTGCTCCAGCGATACGGAAGCTCAGTGTGAGGTCATGCAGGAAATCGTGGATCAAGTCCTGGAGGTAACGGCACCGACGCGGGGAGCAGCGCTGCCGCCTGACTGCAAAACCAGAGCAACTGGGGTGGTGTGGGCTGGGCAGCTCCCGCCCTGCACGGCTCTGCCCCCAGAGCTGCGCCTCGAGGAGGGACGCTGGAACGCGAAACGAGTTCAGAGTGGCACGATGCAGCTCTATCTGTGGTTGTTAAACACAGCCCCAAGCTGCTGCTTGCTGGAAGGGGAAGGTGTCCCCTTGTCCTGTCCCAGCGACAGGACAAGGGGCAATGGGCACAAACTGAAGCACAGGAAGCTCTGTCTGAACCTGAGGAAGAATTTCTTCCCTCTGAGGGTGACAGGGCACTGGAACAGGCTGCCCAGGGAGGTTGTGGAGTCTCCTTCTCTGGAGATATTCCAACCCCCCTGACCGCGGTGCTGTGCAGCCTGCTCTGGGTGACCCTGCTTGGGCAGGGGGTTGGGCTGGGTGACCACAGAGGTCCCTGCCAACCCCTACCATTCTGTGATTCTGTGATCGCTCCGTCCGTGCTCTGTGTCCTTACACCCCGTGCCTAAGTGATGGTTGGACTTGGTGATCTTAGAGGTCTTTTCCAACCTTAATGGTTCTGTGATTCTAGCAATGTCCCAGTGCAACAGGGCCTTCGGCGCGTGCCGTGCAGCTGGGATGCTCCCTTGCTTTCGGCCCGGGGCTTTGTGCTCAGGAGAGGCTGCAGCAAGCCCTGCCCAGCAGAAGAGCTGCGGTGGAGCGTTGAAGAGGGGTCGCATCCCCTGCCTTTAATCAACTCCCTTTGGAGTCAAGTGGCCTTTTAGCATCTGAGAGCTGCCTCTGCCCTCAGCGGGAACACGGGGAAAGGGCTTGTCAGGGTGTAAATACCCGTTGCCGAGTGCTTTCAGTCCCCCTTAGCCCTTTGCAGAGAGAGAGCCGAGATCAGAGAGTTACTAGCCATTAGAGGAGAAGTGGAGCACAGTGACTGAAGCGCTTCAGAGGTGGACATCGATTCGGGGCTTGGTTTGCTGATGACCAGCTCCTGGTGCTGCAGCAGAGCAGCGAAACGGCTCCTGAGCTGCTTGGGGTCCGTTTGCCGCCGCGGTGACGCTGCTGTGGCCCTTCCAGCCGTACCTGAGCCGGTCAGGCAGGGTCTGAGCTTGTGCTTTCTCCTCTCATTCCTTCCTTTCTCTCTACCAGGAGGACTTCGACTCGGAGCAGCTATCGGTGCTCGCATCCTGCCTCCAGGAGCTATTTAAGGCTCACTTCCGTGGTGAGGTTTTGCCAGAAGAAATCACGGAGGAGTAAGGATCTATTTTTTGTGCGTCTCATCCTTTTGCACTGGGACTTGGGCTTTTCCCAGTGAAATATTCCCCATTTTCAGAAGTCCATGCTGGAGCCAGCAGCTTCCCCGGCGAAGCAATCCAGGGTTCGCAAGCGGTCGGTGTGGAGCTGGTCAGCAGTTGTCAGCTCCAGGGCTCAGCAGAGACCATCTCCCTCCTCCCTGCAAGCGCAGGGAGAACCTGCTGCCGCAGGGCCTGGTGTCAGAGCTCAGTTTAGGTGATGCTCTGGTGGCTTCTGACCGTCTGGCCGGGTCACCCAGGGTCTGAGATGCTCCCTCTGTCCCTGCTGTACTCACACAAACCAGCACTCTACACTCTTCCTCCAGGATTTTGTTGGGACAGGGCTCGCAGTCGGAGCTGCTGGGTGCTGTTAGCAGGGCCGTTCCCGTCTCCCCGTTAGCTAGGGCGAACCCCTGGTGGCCCGAGGACCTCCGTGAACAAGGTCCAGGGCTTTTCCCCTGCCGTTGCTGGGGAAGCGCAGAGGGTGGGCGCAGGCAGAGCTCTGACGGTCACGTTTGTCCCGCAGGTCTCTGGAGGAGTCGGTGGGGAAGCCTCTCTACCTGATCTTTAGGTATGTCTGCTCTGAAATGTTTGAGTAATCTAGGGCTTTCTTGTTTGCTTCCTGACCACCACTGTGGGTGAACCCTGTGTGGGTCTGATCCTGCCACGGCCCTGCTTGCCCCAGGGCTGATCCCAGAATTTATTGCTTCGCTCTACCTGTGCTGCGTTTTGTTCAGTAAAAAGACTTCAAATACAGGAAAGTCGCAGCTTGTTTGGCCCGTTGTGGCAGCCAGGGATCCCCGGTGAAGTCTGCTGGGTCCTGACCCCTTGGTGGCTGCGCGTCCCCTGCGGCAGGGCTGGGAGGTGGCCCCTGCGCCCTGTCCCGAGAGCGGGTGGCCAGGGCTGCCTGGGGCTGGGAGCTGGGGTTCCCTGCGAGCT